AGAAGGGGGGGGAAGGAGAAGGGAGGGCGGCGGGAAGGGGCGAGACGCCCGCCCTGGAGTCCTTTCTCTATGGTCTCCCGGCTCCCGCTGCCTGCGCCTGAGCTGTCCAGAAGAGAAAGGGTGACAATGGTCCCCTGGCGGGGCGGGAGCCCCCCTTGCCTACAGCAGCCCACCAGCAGAGAGCCCCTCCTGCACCAGGGGCGGGGTGGCTAGGCTGCAGACTTCGGACACTGGGTCTCTGGTGGGGCTGGTGGTCTGCACAGGGGACCAGTTGGTGACAGTGGGCACCGCCGGGAGGGACAGGAGGGGTCTGTGGGTTCCACTGGGCCTGGCCGGGAACCTTCTGCTGCACTGGGTGGTCTGCAGACAACTCAGGGGGAACCCAAAAAGTTACCCTGGGTTCCCCCAATGGTTCCAACGTCCTACCTAGTGTTGTGCCCAGGGTCAGGAGGCGGGAAGTATTGCAAGTCAGGTCTTAAGAATCCCGGAAGGAACAAAAATTCACAGAAATTGTTCTTTTTTTTTTTTTTAATTAAAGAGTGTGAACTCCCCTCCTAGGCGTAGTGATTGAGTTTCAATAACTTTATGATTATTTTATTTCTTTTCGTGGAGTTAAAAAACAACAACAACCACTTCAAACTCCTACTAACCAGGAGCTGAGGAGAAAGAAATTAGTTTGCTAACAGCTTCACTGAGATTGGTCCACACTCCTGTCCAGGTGTGATGTGGGGGGCCCAGGCCCCCTCATGGGCCCCTGCTCCCCAAGGCTGAGCTACTTGAACGGCAGGTGCTCCCTGCAATCTCGCCCGCGCCGAGCCCTGCAGAGCGCCCACAACTAATTAGAGACATCTTGCCAGTCTTGACTTGAAATTGAAAGAAAATAATGTTTAAATATTTATGACTTTGACATTTACAGTCAGGCGTCTTTTAAAAGTGGAAGGGCTCCTGTGCAGAGGCAGCTGGCTTCGCTGGGAGTTTGGAGCAGGGTCAGGAGGAAGAAGCAAGGCCTGAGGAGAAAGGCCTGGCCATAGGGAGCAGGGGTCTGTGGACCCCTGGGTGGAGGAGACACCGACAGGCACTAGTGCTAAATGCTCAGATGCAGGGGCAGTAGCTCATGGAAAGGAATCAGGAACAATGAAGTCAGCTTTACATCAGGTTAGAGGTACAATTTGCTTACTTCTTCCACTCGACCATCTCCCCCTGCAGCTCTTGAATTTAGAATATAAAGTATTACAAAAGCTGCGATTCAAATAGATGTGACCAGAGAGACAATTTGAGCAGTTGCTCTTAAAGATTAGCATCTACAGATATTGTCCTGACCTAGTTAAACTATTTTGATTTGTGCTTAGAAGCGAAGGTACACGAGCTTCCCTTACATTATCTTCTGAGCAATTTATGGCAAAATATCTTCAAAAAATAGTTTTAGCTGTCCATGTGGTAAGTTTAAAAGAAAAGTGAGACAAAAAAAGAACATTCTATATCCAAACTTGGCTGTGAGAACTGAGGGAGCCACATAAATAGGAAACTTTATGGTAACAAATATTTGTCGACAGGTAGCAAAATGTAGCATTTCCCCAAGGCTGAGCATGTAACCAGCTAACAGCAGTTTATATCTAAGTAACTGACTTCACTTCTGAAACACACTTGTATAAAAACATATGGACACAGGCATTCAATTTCATTAACATTAAACTTCTAATATAGGATGTTCCTTTTGCTTCATTCCTAAGGAATCTGCTTTGCAAACCCAGCACTGTTCCTCTGCACGCTCACTTTTCTATAACTCGAAGCCCCTTGCCCTTGAAAAATTTAGAAATTAGTTTAGATGCGGCTCATGAGTTGCTATAACAAATCTGTTTTTGGTTTCCCAGATGAATCATCTTAGAATTATTTGGAAATTTCATGGTAAATTTACAAAAACACATTTACTAAAATATAGTAACTATTACGTTAAAGCTAATCAACAATTTTTAACAGTTATCAATCCATGGGGATGACCAACTTAAAAATATGGGAGGGAGTTGTCTTAAAATATTTTAAAAGCATTTTTAAAGCTGCTAACTGAACTATTTTTAATTTGGAATTTGCCACAGAATTCTAATAAATGAGAGAAGCCAGGCAGAAATAATCATGTATTAATTCTTTGCATTACAGAATCTTTCCAGAAGCTATTATCAGCAAGAGGCTCTGCGCTGAAGTCAGGGTGGGAGAAACCCTTTGTGCAACTGAAGGCTATTGTTCCCTGCAGATGAAATTGTACTTGCTAATCTGCCATTCAAGTATCAAAAAGAAAAAGCCTATCTGGGTCAAAGAAAAGACTCCAAGGAATCATTATTCTTACAAACAAACTTTAATGAAATAGGTGGGACGCACTGTTTAACAGGCTACTTATGGAGGGTCCCCAGGCGCAGGCACAGGCATAAAGGTAAACATACAAAAGATGGTGCGTGGCCTGTTTGCCGCCTGGAAGCAGCCCCACACCGTGCGGGGAAACGCTCTGCCTTAAGATGCCAGGTATTTACGTGTGAAGGGGAACTCCCTCGCGTGAACAGCTTTCAGTGGAGCTGAACAAACATCAGATGGGCTCCGGGAGCCTCCTGGCGCCCCGCTGAGAACAGCCCTAAGTGAAGGGACCCGGAGAAGACCGCCCAGCGTCCTCTGCGCCCGGCGCCCGCTTAGGGCCGCGTCTGGGCTCCGAGGCCTGCGCCCCAGCACACACGCGCCTCCCAGGCACCCCTGGTCTCGGAGGAGGGGTCCCCTCGCAGCCACCGAAGCTGCCCGGGTTTGGGATTTCTATTCCGGTCTTGCCGAGGCTACCACGGGTCCTAA